TATTGTATATTTTCATTGATAGATCATAGATGATTATGTAATCCACTAAGGATTTTGGGCAATTTGAAAGTCTTCAATTGAATCCTTTTTCTAAAATATTATATTTTAACAAATAATTGTTGAAAAATGTTAGTACATAACCATTATATATGAATTATTTTCTATAAAAATTCAATAACTCATATTCATAATGGAAATCTATACTGAAATTCTAAAGAAAAAAAAAATTAGTTTTTTTATATCAATATGGATCTCTATTTATAATTGACAAAAATTATTATATTTGATATATTCATTTTTTCCGATAAAAAATAAACCCAAAAATAAAAAACAAAACATAAAAAGATTAGGATTATTCAATAATCAGCTAAAGATATGTCCATTGTATACATGGTAAATATATGGATAATATTGGTTTATTGGTTCATTATTTAATCCAAAGCCATATTGGCAGTTTAAAAAAATATGGCAACTCAATTTAGATTTAAGGCCTAAGAGGCCAAACATGCAACAAAATGAAATCATGAGAACCAGTGGGTGTTTATTATAGTTGTCCTCAACGTGATATACTTTTTGCAAACCACAATGACCAATCAGGAAAGATTAACTGAAAATTTAACACAACACCCAACAAGATTCCTTAATCAGGAGGATTAGTGGTGTAATCGAGTTGAGCCAACTCATTTACTTGAGATTGCCTCGAAAACAATCGAAATTGACTTAATTTAAATGAAAATGAACAACATTAAGTTAGGTAATGCCAAAACCCTAATCCAACAAGCATCCACCTGAAACCAAGGAATTAGGTTTACCCATAACATGAATAAAGTAGCTACTACTTGCATAATTTTTAATACAGAGCTTGCAACATCGGTCCTTAACTGAATAGAGAGTCATGAGTTTGACTTAGGGTGTAATCGACTCGAGTTAAGTAGTTTAATACTAGAGTTGCTTGAGCACGAGCTTGACTTGACATTAATCGAGTCAACTTCTAATCTACAGATCAGCTTGGCTTGGGTTAATCACAAATCGAAGTTTGACAGTTGAAGAAACCTTGCGAAAATTTGAGACTTGATTCATAGTCTCCAATGACATCTCATGGAACTTGGCTTCATCACCCCAACTAAAAACCATTTCCTCCAATTCATTTCCATGCTCCAATAAAGCTCTTGCTACAACTAGTATTGGCTTTTCGTCATCAAATTCACGAAACTCCACCTTTTTCAGACAACGAGCCAAGATGTTGATTTTTTCGGCTTCTTGTAGATGCCACTTGTTCAATCCATAAACATGCTAGATCATCAAACAAAAGCACTAGTTTTTCATGTTGAGGTGAAAAAATCCAAACTAGTTTTGAATTCTTCAAAATGTATTTATAAACTTAATTGATTTTTCATATAATAGGATAATGTGAAGGTGTTAAGTTCAAATCCTTTACAACATAAAAAATGATTTTATAAATAATTTAAATATTAAAACCAGTAAAACCTCTTTTTTGATATTTGGTAAATTTAACAAATTTCGCTAAAATAATAGAGATAATATATTTTCAAAATACCTCTAGGTTGATACCGGACCCCATTAATATCATCAACTAATAATTATATAAACTTATACAAACATAACTAAGACAGACAACTTAGTGAAATATAATGTCGTTTGTTTTTTCTTAGAACTCAAGTCTAACTTTTCTTACTGCAACCAAAATTTCTGGTGCCGTGTTCTTACACTACACCAAAAAATTGTGAAGAGACAGTCATAACTGCATCAAAATTTAGCTTCAATCAACTACAAAGATCTATTTAAATAAATAATAATAATTTATCGTTTAAAAAATCTCTCTATAAAATGATTAAACAACATATGATCCCAATATTAGTTTGTAGAGCAGTAGAGGTTTTACCATATATATGCAAATATATATATATATATATATATATATATATATATATATATATATATATATTAGTATTTAGATAATGATATGTTTTCTTAATAAAAAAATTTAGAAGGCTGTAAACATTTGAATACACATTTCCACAACTTGGATACGATTAAACCCATTGAGCTAACTTTTTTATTTTACTAGTTTACTAAAGTATAACCAGCTTGATCCATTCGTAGGTAAATAAGCAGGAATTTTTGATGATCATATACAAAATACCATTTGATATGAGAATGAGAATACCTTTACAAAGATTAAATGGAGAGACTCTAGATCCGGAAAACATTTGGGAAATGGGATGAGCATATACACTCCGTACGGGTCATCAACTGTTATCTCCAAAGTCTTGAGATTAGGTAGAGATACAGGCTCATCTTTTTCTGGCCAATAGCACTACACCACAATCACAACAAGTCAAAATTTAGAGGATGTTATTCATGCATGGCAATAATTAAATAGGCAAGTATGTAACCAAATGACAAAGATTCAATCAAAACCCATAAAAGGCATGTAGCTACATTAAGCCCTGTTAGACAGTTCTTGTTAATTCCATTAGGTCAAAAGGAAATAACATCAAGAAAGTTTGTTTTATAGCTTCTGATTAATGTTCTAATCTAACATAAGGCAAGCATTATACAGCCCTATCTTTTTGCAAAACTATAAAGGAAAGGTTGCATAAAGACTTTTTCATAGATCTAATGAAAGTTGGTACACAGCTGTCTAATACAGGTTAAACAATAAAAAAAAAAAAAAAGAAGAAGAAGAATATGCTCTATCTTAAAACAAAGATTTCAGAAGATGCAATGCAAAATATTTTAGCCGAAATGAAGAATTGTTTAAAAAGAGAATAAGCATCTACCTGTCCCACAAAGCAACCGCTGATGGACAAATATTCCACATTAGATATTTCATCAAAAACATCACAAAAGGATTCAAGTGAAAAGTCTGTACAGTGTATCATAGATTTCTTCAAGGAGTTTAGATTTCGGAATGAAAAACTAAAAGATACAGGGCCAACTAACTTCAAAAGCTCCAGATTTGGGCAAGAAATCTCAAGCCCCAGACAATCTAACATATCATCTACTTCTGGATCAGGTATCATTTCTTGCTTTTCAATTCTCAGATTCTTGAGCTTCGGACTTGCAATAACAAGAGATCCAGACGGAGTACAGCAGTTTAACAAACTCAAATCCTCAAGCAATGGGCAGCTTTCAAGAAAATATTTTACCAAATCACCCTTTCTTCTATAAATATCGCTCAATACAACGTCGTTCAACTCAAGAACCCTAAGTGCAGGGAACCCTGGAATCTTAGGCAAACATAGACGATGATATCCGAGCAAATATAATTTTAACACTTCCAAACAACTACAAGTCACCAGACAATGGGGTATCTCAAGATCCTCAGGCTCATCTATTGGGCTAAACATCAAGTCAAGTAGTTTGACTTTTCTCACAACAGCAGCATGAATCCATCGCCTTATGGTTGACATATTGTAGTAATCCGCACACCATAAACGAAAACTATCCAAATCAAGAGTTTTGTTTAGTAAAACCCAATACACAAACTCTTTGAATCCATTACTTTCCAATTCCTTATCTGGATCTAATCCTCGGGTATAATCTATGTCTATAGATGGAATTGAAGTCCACAAATGCCTCCATCGTGTTGACAAAACGCTTGTTCGAATTACTTCTTCAGTACTTGGAATACCTGAAAGAATCAACTGAAGAACATGATCTGGCAAGTTACTGATCAAATCAACCCCATCTTCTCCTTCTGATGCATTTGCTTGCTTGGATTTGTCCATGGGTCTGTTACTGTGATGTGAATAAAAGATCATTCAGTAAGACATTTTATCAAACAGTTTGTGAATAATTATTTTTTTAGATATAAACTGGACTTTAATCTCCATAAGTTAGGCTTGACTCTCACAGTACGCAATATTAAATACTTTCAATCAATATGAGTTTCATGAGAAAGGTTAAAAGCTTCAAAACTTCAAACAATACACACAAATAAAACAACTGAAAACTAAGTCCTACATTAGTCGATAACCTCGGGTCTTCAAAAACTTCAGACATTAATCATCAACCAAACAAATCAAATTCATATGATAAAACTGAAATTTGACATAATTGCAAGAAGATATAAAGAATATATAAACCCCAAATAATAGCAAACCACATTCAAATAAAAAACCTGATATTTGAGAAAAATACCTGATCAGATCGGTGCAGAGCCTTATGGTTTAAGAAGTAACTGGAGGCCATGAACGATTTCCTTCTTTTCCCAGCCAATTTGAGTCTGCATCTGCAGCGTAATCACCCCTTGCTCTCAATGCGATTATTTCGCTTCTCAGCTGATTGCCTGATTCTCGATTTGCAGGAACATCTTTTGGGCCTCAGATTAAGCCCGAGGCTGTTCTGGGCTGGGCCTAGCAGTAAATCACATAATTTGTTATTGTGGTTTTCTTCTACTTATGGATCAGTCCAGTTTTTCCTATTCCATTAGGACCATTTTTAGAGTACGTTTGACAAGTGTTTGTTAAAAAGGATAGGGAGCATTTATGATGTTTTCTAAAGTATAATGATCTCTTTTATCTCAATAGGGTTTTTGCATGTATAATCAACTTCTGAAAATATCATAAGTAAACAAGATATTAGATAAAAGAGTAAAGTATGTAATTCATTTTTGTGGTTTTTGATCCGGTCCAGTTTTTCGTATCCATACACTATTCAAGATCATCTTACATGAACAACTTTGTATACATTCTGATCCGGTCCAACTTTTCCTATTCATTTGGAATCGGTCCAGTTTTTCCCTACTTTTCTAACATGTAACTTTATAAAATTTAAGTTGCATGGAAAATTGTGGCAGGGAAATAACAATATATTTTGCATTTATAATAGTATGGGCGATACCACATGTTTCAATTTTTACCATAGTTACAATTTATAGTGATTATAGCAAATTTATTTAAAAATCCAGTAACCCTTCAATTTTGTTGCTTATCTGGGATCCAATTAACACCAACAAGGCAATTCAAATACCAAATCCACATCGAACGTTAAAAAAAATTGTCGTAAGAAATCCAAACCAAAATACTTATATTTCTAACAGCCATTAGTAAAATCTAGCAAACTTATGTTTTGATAATTAAAAGCCTTAGTTTATGTTTGATAATCTAATCATTGGATATGTAAGAACAAATTTTAAAAATCATTAAAAAATTTATAAAAATAAAAAAACACATTGGCATGTTTGTATGGGGTATGTGATGTGGTCGGTGACACAACAACAACGGATGTCACGTCAGATTTTCATAGGTTTCATGTCACATATTGGTATAAACAACTAGAGAAGTTTTGTCCTTATTGTGTCCGATGTGTTCTACATCGGTTGACATTTTGGATCAAATTTTTGTTTCCTATGAGCTATCGATCAGCATTTGGAGAAAGGTCTTATGTTGGCTTGATATGGTGGTTTCAGGATGGAAGGCTATTAATGACATCATCTTGTGGTTGGATTTGGTTTTTAGTGGAGTGTCGAAAAAGGCTATGGTTGAAGCTATTATTTTTGTAGTTTGGTGTATTGGCGATTCCGAAATGATCTTGTGTTTGGCGATAAGATTCCTCAAAGCGATGAGATTTTTGAAAATATTGTTGACTTTTCATTTAATTGGTTTGTTTTTAAAAACTCTGTTGATTGACTTAATAACCTTTATCTAGTTGTGTCACAATTTTTTGCTAGTTTTTAATATAATTCACTTGTTCAAAAAAAAAAGGTGGTAGTTTGTGTAGTTATGATACCACTGAGGAAATGTTTTTTGGATTTGATAATAGTTTGCATGGCTGTAAGCCTGTAAGTCTACTATGAATAGTTAATTGTTAGAATAACACTTAATTAATTGTAACCTTGATTATTAAGGAATTTGCGTAATAACACTGAATTTGAGTGTATACTAAATTGTTGAAAGGCATTGTGCAAATTGTACTGATTAGCTTAATGATATATTAAGTTGTGTAACTAATTTATATTTTTAGTCATGGTTACTCATTGTAGCTTATTATTTTGTTGTGCCTTTTAGGTTTCAAGTAGACTTAGTAGAAAGATGCAAAGTTGGTAGCGCCTGGCTTTGAAGTTAGTAGAAAGATCCAATTTTTCCAAAAGGTCACTCTTGAACATATTGTTGGGTATAATCTTGATGTTGGAAAATTGAAATAAAAAAATATGGTTTACATTTTATGCTTTAGTTATTAGTTTGTTATCTAGAAATGGTCCACTATAGTTTGACCGAATTTTGTGGAGTTGGAAGAATGGGTCTTTGGTTGTACCTCTTCTTTAGGTAGAGACGTAGAATAGATAGTGTAGCTATTTTCATGCAACATGTGGGTGTCTAGAAGACTATATATAGTCTTTCCTCTAGTATGAATAAAGTAGAGTTGTTTGTCATTACTTTTCACACAAAGCATATTTAATTCATTTGTGCAGATCAACTTTTGTTTCTTCTTTCTATCATTAAAATCGAGTAAACAAGCTGTCATTTTGGTTCTTCTTTTACAACACATATCCTAATGTAATATTTTATTTTCGTAGGGCAGCACATCAAATCAAGCTGATTTTTTTTCAGCTGTAGTCTAAGTTAGTTCTCATGCAAGTAATACAAAAGATGTAGTAATAAATGGAGATGAAGCAACATCATGTTAGGTTATACAAAATTCCAAATCTAACAAGCAGCATCCGCCACAATACACATAAGACCAAAAGATCTGGTTTACCCCATAACATGAATTGGTAGTTACTACGTACAGTTTTACAAAAAGCATTTAACATCAGTTCATCAAAAGAGTAACGAGCTCGATCTCAACTCAAATAAAAGACTCAGAGCTTGAATCGAGAGGGAGCTGGCTGAAGTACAGTTGTAAGTTTGACAGTTGAAGAAGCCTTGTGAAATTTTGACATTTCCTTCATAGCCTCCATCGACTTCTCATGGTGCGCTGCATCCTGTTGCCACAAGAAAACCATTTCCTCCAATGCATCTCCATGCTCCAGTATGGCACGAGCTATAGCCAGTTTCCGATCATCTCCATCGAAACCAAGAAACTCAACCAATTTCAAATGACGGGTCAAGATTCTCATTGATGCAATATCATCTAGTTTCCAATCTTCCAACCGATCTACCTAAAAATACATGGTTCAAATTTTGTTATATACATAAATAAAAAAACACCATTTGATATGAGAAATGAGAATACCTGTGTAATGAACAAACGGAGAGACTCCAGATGTGGAAAACATATGAGAAATGGGATGAGATCATTCACTGCAAATACACCAGTTGTTATCTCCAAAGTCTTGAGATTGGGTAGAGATACAGGGACATCATTTGGCGGAAAATAACACTACCACAACAGTTTAGAAGTTATTATTTATGGCCACCAAATGAAGAATTGTTCATACATACAATACAAAGAGAATAAGATTAAGAACCTACCATTGAGACACAGTAAAGAGTGATGCACAAAAATTCCACGTGACTTATTCCAACAAACCCATCAACAAGGGGCCTTTCATCTTCAGTCAGTTCTTCAGGGTGAATCGCAACTTCCTTCAAGGAGGGCATACTTGTTTTAAACATAAATTCACCAGCTACATAACCTGTTAGCATCAAAGACACCAATTTTGGGCAACAAATTTTTAGCCTATCAAACATCCCCTTATTCTTCTTGAACACTTCATAACTAACCCCTGCCTGGTTGATAATTGTAAGACTCTTGAGGTTCTGACACGAAATACGAAGAGTATAAAGTTGGTGTTTAAAACAGTCTATCAAACTCAAATCCTCAAGCAATGGGCAGCTTTCGAAAAAATATTTAACTGAAAAATCATTGAACAAATCAACCTTTTTCAACACAAGAACCCTAAGTGCTGAAAACCCTGTAATAATATTAGGCACACTTAGACGACATCCGGACAAAGACAACCTTAATTCCTCCAATGAACTGCAAGTCACCAGACAATGGGGCACCTTGACAACTTCGGATTTATTCCGAGGGCTTAACATCAAGTCAAGTTTTTTCACGTTTTTCATAACAGCAATGTGAATCCATTGCCCAAGTGTCGATTTATTGTAGTAGAATACATAACTTAGACGAAAACTATCCAAATCGATAGATTTGTTTGCCAAAACCCAAAACACAAACTCTCTAAATTTGGTTTTATCGAATTTTTGTAAAAGATTCATCCCCCAGAAATCATCTATGTCTACTCAGGGAATTGGAATCCACAAATGCCTCCATCGTGTCGACAAAATGCTTGTTCGAACAGCTTCTTCTGTACCTTGAAGACGTGAAAGAATCAACTGAAGAACATGATCCGGCATTTTACTGATTATATCAACTCCATCTTCGCTTTCGGATGCCTTTGCTTGCTTTGATTTCTTCATATTACTCTGTTACTTTATTGATGCAAATAAAAAATCATTACAAATATTCAAATCACATTGACATTTTATCAAACACTTTGTGAACAGCAAGATGGTAATACAACTGAAAAGGCGTAGGTTTCTCGCCATGATTGATCTCTATGGTTATTCATATGTGCATTTTCTATCTAACTCCCTTTATTCTATTAAGGGTTAATGTTATAATATGGCAACTAATTATTTCAAATTTACAGTAATGTCATTTCATTTCTAGTTGTACATCCTAAAGCATTAATGTTTCTAACTGTTTCTATATTATTTCATATGAAAGCTTTGTGTTACACCTTAAAATGCAGGATTTTGATGCATTTATATAGTTTGCCAATTTTGTATTAAATTACAAAAATAAAGTAGAAATTAAAAACTAAAAGCCAAAGGAGAAACAAAAAAACTAAACTGGACTTTAATCTCCATAAGTTAAGCTTGACTCTCACAGGAAGCATTAGTAAATACTTTCAATCAATATGACTTTCATTGGAATTTGGAAGTTTAGAAGCTTCAAACATTAAAACTAGAAATTAAGTCCCGTAGATAACCATTAACCTTCCAATCTTCAATTACTAAGCATATAAACCGTATATAATCATCGACCAAACAAACCAAGTTCAAATAATAAAACTGAGATTCAAGATATTTGAGAAAAAACACAAAAAGATGCAAAGAACATATAAACCCTAGATAATAGCAAACCATACTCAAATAGAAAAACGGAAATATAATTGAGAACAATACCTGATTAAATAGATGCCGAACCTTGTAGTTTAAGAGCTAATGCCTGGGCGATTGTAAACGATCCCCTTTGTTTCCCGCCCAATCTGAGGCTGCGTCTATGTAATCATCCCTTGCTACCTGCTCCTACAGTCCTAATCGACCACGATTATTTCTGGCTTCTGGGCTTATTCTTGATTGCTGGAAGTTGAAGGTGGAAAGTGGAGAGTGGACTGGAGACTGGAATGGAAAGTAGAATTGTAGAAACATCTTTTGGGCCTCAGATTGGGCCATGGCGGTTGTCCGTTTAACTGTCTCTGGGCTGGGTTATACTTTATAAAGTTATAATAATGAAATAATCTATTTTATCACAATAGGATTTTTGTCCTACACAATCAAACTTCTGAAAATATCATAAATATACAAATAAATATACAAGATACTGGATAAAAGAGTAAATTGTGTAATTCATTTTTGTGGTTTTTCCATACGGAACGGTCCAGCTTTAGCATCTACTCGAATCCGGTCCAGTTTTCCCCTCATTTTTGTGGTTTTTCCTACTTAGTTTCTGAACATATAACTTTGTACAAAACTACAAATTAAGTTATATGGAAAATTGTAGCAGGGATATAACAATATATTTTACATTCATAACAATATGTGCAATACCACAATAGGCTTTAATTTTTACCATAATAGCAACATAGTTGCAATTTATAGGATTTATAGCAAATTTATTTTGAAAACCAGTAACCCATTACAAGTTTTTTTTTCAATTTTATTTCTTATCTGATATCCAATCTCCACCACAGAGGCAATTCAAATATCAAATTCACATAGAAGCATAAAAAAAACAAAACAAAAATAGAAGTCACAAAGAAATCCAAACCAAAATCTTTAAATTCCTAACGACCATTAGTAACTAAAATCTATCAAACTACTGGTTTGATAATCAAAAACCTTAGTTTACGTTTGATATCATTTGATATGTAAGAGTAAAATTTAGAATCATTAAAAAAATCCAAATTTGCATGTGATGTTGTCATGACAACGGATGCCACATCATATTATCATAGGTTTCATGTCGCAGATTGCTATAAACGGTGGAGAAATGTATATATGTTACTATTATAATTTATAGGTAAAAGGTAAAGTACATTGCCTATATTGGTTGGAAGAGTAAATTATGTTGCTATTTCCCATAACTTAAATATAGGTCTAGAAAAGGATGAAAGTTGAAACTACACACAAATGAAACAATTCATGGCATATAATAATAAATATTATAAGCATCACCCCACAAGACTAGTTTGTATTAGACAAGCAATCAACCCACCAGCATCCTTACAAATTAGTGTTTCTTCTTTGCTTTCTTATACAGTTTTACACAAAAATAATATGGAATCAAACAGTTGGGGCATTTGCCATATAGTAAATAGTGAAAATCCATTTTTTGTAGCTAAAAGTGTTGTCAAATCAAACAGACTTAAACTGCTATCGGCTGAGAAGGCTGTAGGAGGGTATATCTTCCAGCCTTGTTACGTCTTCTTGCAGAAGCTCTCTTTCAAGCTGACGACGTGTTGACTTCATCACCGCCTGCAACACAAATCATATACACCTCACTTCCCATTTATCTCTCTATTATTATTATTATTATTATTATTATTATTATTATAGCATCCTACTTTCATTTTACGCAATCATAGCATTCTACTTTTAATTATTTTTCTTATTAATATAACACTGAAAATTGCTTTGTATTTGGATGAAATTTCTATAACTGGATAAAAAATTTCAAAGTACAATACTATAATAGGAAGAAATGAAAGTAGGATGTTATGATAAACAAATCAACGAAAATATGTTTTTGCTTTTTTTTTTGCATCTAACACCTTCTAGAAGATGTGGTCATGACCAAATCTATGGCAATCATCACAGATTTCACAATTCAACCGCATGTAACCATTTTTATTTTGTGTTGTTCAAAAGGTTCAACATTTCTGTTTTTTTTTTTTTTTACTATTTTCATATTAATGGTGTTTGATGACTTGATCTCTCTACAGAATGAAAAAAAGGGTAACTTAATTTGTTGTCATAGATTTTCTCATTTTCTCTGTTGTTTTTCTAAAATACGAGAAAAAAAAATCACATACATTGAAATCCATGTAAGATGCATGCATAGCAAGCCACTGGTGATCCATTAGCTTGAAGGTAATGCAATAAAGAAGGTCAAATGCCAATTCGTTTTCTGTTTGGAAAAATAGAGAAAATAAAACCAAAAAAATAAATTATTAGCTCCAAAATTAGTTTATATAGAACAAATAAATACTTGTACCTGAAAGAAACTTCAAGAAGGTTGCTCCCACAAAACTTCGTGGGTTAACTGTAAAGTAGAAAAACTCTATTAGGCCCTGTTTCTTATTTTCCCCATTAAGTGAATTGAGGGCAAATTTGTAAAAATTTAGGACTCAAATGGGAAGGTTTCCTTTCCATAACTTTCTGTATCAAGTCAAAAAAGAAACACTAATATAAAGCTTACAGCCTAACAGGAATAAGTCAAAAAGAACAACATCTTAGTCTGCAAAGCATTAAACTCCTAAATTAATTATTATTTAAAATATCCTGGAAAACCTGCTTCAAGATCCAACATCTGAATAAGCATGAATGTAATGTTGACACCAGCTACAGCAAAAGGATATTCCCACATGGAACGGACACCTTCTCGCTTTCTAAGAAGATCTTGAAATGATTTCTGCACAAAATGTAACCAGTGAATAACCTCCTTCTAGAGAAATAACTAAAATGAAAAAAAAAAAGTTGCATGGATGCAAGTGTATCATGTTTGACAAAGAGAAGGAACTTACATACAAGGACTAAATGCCAGAAATAGCAACATACTTTTACTTATTTGTGTATTATAGCATCCTAGTTTTACTTCTTCTGTTAAAGAATTCTACTTTCAATTATTTTTTCTTAATAAGCCAGCCATTGTACTTGAAACAATCTTCCCAATTATAGCAATGAAATTTGCTTTGTATTTGGATGACATTTCTATGTTTGGGGCAGATTTTTCGAAGTAGGAGGCTGTAATAAACAAAATGGAGGAATCCCTAGGGAACGTTTGGTTGATGGATTGCAACAGAATCCGGCAAAACTGGAAGCTGAGATTTCAATCTATGGCATGTTCAGTTGCCAGATGGAGGACTAAATGTGTGACAAATTACAGTTACTTTAGATTCCAATTCCTTTAACAAATTCCATTCCTTCCAGAAAACATTTTACAAACCAAACAGACCCTTACTTTCACATACTTGAACAACTTCTCTGTGTGTGTGTGTGTGAGAGAGAGAGAGAGAATACCGGGAAATTTCTGGCAAAATACAATAAGTTTTCCAGTGATATAAACCCACCACCCCTATCACAAAATTCCAGGTCTTAAAAACTGCATAATTTCAATGGAAGATCTCAAGGAACAACAAGAAAAATGTGATTTACCGAAAATCAGTGGAAGGATCTTTCCCTTGCCACCCCATCTCCTTCCACTGTTCAGAAATTAGATCATGGAGTTCCTCTTCAGGAAAGGCGGCTCCCCATAATGCCCTCAATGCTTGCTACAACATCAATAAAATTGCAAAAATGGGAGATTAAACCCACTTCTTGTATTGTAGCCATAAATCTTAGTTATGAAATCTATTTAGTATTTACATACAAACATCAAGAATGTGTGTTTCTGCAAAAGGAGGAAGACATTTACCTGATGTCCTGGAATTGAACTATCATAGGCAACATCTAAACGGTTTTGCAGCCTCTGTAAACAATCTTCCTGGCAATGGTGAAAAGGAATGAACAATCAGATTCTTATCATATCATATACTGTTAAAAAGGAAATGATGGAAGTGGTAAAGATTTTAATCACAAAATATTTATACTTTCTCTATACAATCCTAGCAAAGTCATGCTCTATAACCATCTTCTTATAAATGAATAAGAAAAAAGCCCATGAAGGTTCTAGCATATAGATCTTTGGACACACTGGCTAGCCATAACTGACAATAGGGAATAGTAGAAAACTAGAAATAGATATGGGTAGGATCTTAGATAGGATCACGTGGAAGGATGTTTTTCATGTCATCTATTGGGGTGTTTGGTTCGCATAATGTTTTGAAAGGAAATGGAATTGGAATCTGGAGGAATTGGAATATGAATGAATTGAATTCCGTCACAATTTGTCGAGGTGGAAACGAGATGGAATTTGTGAGCTACAAAAGGGAAAGAAAAGGAACATGCGAGAGGCGTTTACTTACTTGTAAATTCTAGGTTTTAAAAGGGCTTTTGAGTATTTTGAACATGAAAAAATGATGGAAATTAAATTCCATGGGTTTTAGGATGGAAAATTGAAATCCATCAGTGGAAGGATTTCGTGAATTCCAACGGAATCCAATTCTGTACTCATTAGCCACCAATTGTGGGATTGGAATGGAATTGATTTCCAATTACGGCAAAATCCATAGAATTCTGCAAGCCAAACACACCTTTAGTATCCGTTTTTCACTTTTAACCTTATCTGGATAGTTTTGGGTAAAGGGCTTGTTAATGTTGCAATGTTTTCTACATTAATCTACCAAGTCCCATACTTGGTTGTCTGACATGGCTAGATCTTGGCTTTCATAGCATTGAGCAATTTACCAGATCCAGGTGTGCTACAGAAAATCATATGCATCAATCATCTGAACAGGTTTAAAACCGTACCTGGGCAGGGGTCAAATCAAATGATGGGCGAGAGTCACCTTCTCTTCCCTGAACACAAACACATGAGAGGCCTCTGCCAAGCCATGCTGCTGAGCCTGCTGCAACCTCAGCTGCACATAAAAAAGAAACAGGGCCAAAAGCAGAGTTCCTAAGTTCACCAAAATCATAATTCATGACTATAGGATGGTTTAAATAATTAAAGCAACTAGTAGTCCATGCTTAGTGCTACAGCCCACAAGAATGTCAAATCAAACTAAAACTTAAATTTGATGGGAGATGCACTCTAAATTGTCAAAAAGGGCATATCCCAAGGCCAATTTGATTTAATTTTTAACTGAACCAAACCAATATATCAAATGTTCATGATCGTGTATACACAATCAAACGATCCGAAATAAAATTGTTTATAATTGATATTTGATTAAGGTAATTATACTAACAAGCAAGCTGAACTCATCACATATATCAATGAAAGCAATCATCTAATATCTAATTGCGACAGATCGGAATTTTCACAATTACCTCTTTACAGAGAAACGTATAATATGGTGCTACGATCATAAAGAAGTTAAACAATGAGTCATATACCTGAAGTTGTATTACAGGTGTTGCTTCTATCAAGTCCATGTGAAATCCTCCTAACTGCAACAAATGATCCACCACCGCCTCCTCCTCTGTCCTCCATTGCCGGTAACAAAAACTCAAAGCGCGCACACTAATTCACCGTTAATTCCACCATTACCGACCACAAACACAAGCGCAGAACTTCTTCAACTTCACAGCAAACTGCGAAATTGAAAACGAATCCTAATCCGTTCACGACACCGAATTAAAATCCGCATCAAGAAATAAACCTCCGATCACCACTTTCGCGATCAAACTGATGAAAAAACATATCAAGAAGCAATTCATTAAAAAAGTTTACCAGTAATTCTTGAAGGCAAATGCAGGAGTTCTCTAGGGTTTTACTGGATCTACAGTTCTAATAGAAGAACACAAAAAATGAGCTTAAATCAATTTCTCTCTTTGATGATTATATTGTGTGTATTCAAATATATACAAGAAAATAGAAAGTATTGGTTGTGTTTCTCTCCCTACTTTCTCTCTCTACATCTATGTCACGAAGAGAAGTTTATATATATAATATTTGTGCGTGTTCTTTGTTCGTTTGTTGGTGGCCATCTCGTCTGTTGGGAAGGAGTATGACTGTAAAAGAGAGAGAGAGAGAGAGAAAGAAAAGGCGAAGGTTTTTAGGTACGGAGATTACATATATATAT